GATGGCACCCCCACGGCAGTGTGGCACAGAGCCCTGTCTCACTCTGGATGCCACGGGCCTCGTGCACACTCCCCCGACAGATTCTTGCTGTCTCAGTCTCTTTTTAGCCAGGATACAATGCCTGAAACAAAGTGACTGCGTTGCGAGAGTCGAAGATGAGAAACGGGAGGAAGGAAAAGCCAGGGCGTCTTGGTGGAGGAGCTGCAGATGGCCAGACGTGACTGCAAGGGAGGGGAGGCAGCACTCTGAGTGCTGTTTCAGCTTTCAAGTCTCGTGCTCCCAGGATCTACATGCCATTTCTTGGATGTGGTTTGCCCCGAGGGCAATCTCAACAGCTGTGAAGTTTCAACAGATGAACAATGTAGTTTTCAATAAATTTCATCAAGCAAAGGAAAGGCTTTTAACTCATTCATGCTTGCCCACTTTTGGTCTGAAGGCTCTTCCGGACCTGAATCTGTTCATGTCATGAGCGTTTCCTGTTTGAACCCCAGGGCCTGACTGCTGGAGCACACCTGAGCTACACTGCTGTGCTCCAGGTTTCTGGAGAGCTCTTCCCCATCAGAAGGGGCTTCTCTCAGCCATTCCCAGGGGTGCTGGGAAGTGCAGGTACATCCCTGTGTTTACCTGTGCCACTTGAACCCACCCGGCTGGCCTGTGGGTGGAAGAAGGTACCAGTTGTGGAATATGGATGCCCTCACCTCCTGATGGGGAAAGAAGATGGTAGAAGAAGAACTTTTTCAAACCTCCTTGTGGTGGCTGCATCTCAGAAGTTCCATTTCTTTTGTATTCACACATCCAGAAGTGGGGTTTGTGCACTTGGAGGCATGTTCTGATCCCAGCTGAAGACTGATGCTATTAGTTGTAAGTGAAGGAAGAACTTTTGTGACCCCAAATTCTTCAGACAGATCTAGTCAAGAAATTACCAAAACACCTCCAGGGTATCCTCAGATGGTGAAGACAACAATTACTGTCAATTCACCTGCTGAATACAGTACAGGACAGCAAACCTGAGCCCAGAGATTTTGTTTGTGAATTTGTTTTGTTTTCTTCATGGCCACAGAAGTGCAGCTACAAAGCCAACATGAGTTTGTTTTGTGTGTGTCTGGGGGATCTGAGCAACGAGCCCCTGCCCTTGGCTGCCTCTCCTCTGGCTGGGATCCACCAAGTGGTTTCAGGGAGCCCAAAGCACCAAGCTCACACCCCTTGCAGGAGAGAGTGCTAAGCAGGCCCTGGAGGGATCTCACACCTCTACAGGCTCCCTGCTTTCCCTGTTGATGCTTTACCTGAGGTGTCCCGGTTGATGGGCTTGGGACTCAGCATTTCCTCTTCACCTAAACGTCTGCCCAGAGGCCATTCCCTTCTGCTCTTGCATAGCTGCTCCGTGGCTGGTCTGGTTCCCCCTCTCTGCTGCACACAGACAGCAAACATCCCTGGAGAGCTGCCTCGGTGCTCCCCACGCACAGCTCCAGGGGGCACAGCTCCCGGGCATCTGCAGTAAAACAACATGAGCCCAACTACGGAAGCAGGATGGGGTCTGTGTGCAAGGCAGAGGCACCCGTGACCTTTAGGAGGCTGTTAGCACCAACCCACGAACAGCTACTGCTTTGAACTAGAATATTACAGTAAATCCCCCCATCTCCCCCTTCCCAAGCAAAGACAGAGCCCATGCAGCAGCCAGAGAGATCTTGTGTGGTGCTGCAGCCTCTACAGGACATTTCACAGACATCTGGGATTTGAGGTCCTCTGTCTCAGCTCTCCAAAGTGCCTCATGAGTTTTAATCACATTGCTCTCCCTGTCCTATTGAAGCTGTCCAGCCATTAGCTTCTGACACCTTTTCTCAGATGGAAACTAAATACTGCAGCTCATGTTTTCCTTCCTCTGTGGAAGGCACTGATGTCTCCTTTTCACATGGATAGTCAATAATCCCTGCAAATGCACAGGGCAGCCTGGTTGTGCACTCTGGTTGGTCGTGATTTCTGCTGAAATGCTCTTGTTTCAGCTGCCATCTCCACCATAGAGTCCTGAGCTCAGTGCAGAGTCCATCCAGGGGCTCCTCCATAGGAACACTGCAAACATCCTCCTCTGTAGGGACAGCCTGGCCTTTGCAAAATCAGTGGTGTGAGCAAACTCCTCAGCTTTCTGGAAAGGCTGGACACTGTGCATGCCATGCTGGATTCATTCCCAGCTTTGGGCAAGGTCTCATGGTGCTTCTTTTAGACTGTTCTTCAGAGCCTTCAGTGTGCTCTCTTGGTGATTCCCTGCATCCAAAGCTTCCACAGTGAGTTTGTGATAATGCAGCCTCTGAGTTCAGCAATCGCTTCCCAAGAGAAAGCGGGAAAACACTTTGGGAACTGAGCTCTGTGACTGTCCAGCAGCCAATTTAATCCAGTAACATTTCTTAGTGGCAATGCAGTGTGGGACATGTCCTTCCCCACAGCATCCTAGGGTAGCATGAGCTCCGAATGGCAGAGCTGCACAAAATAACAAGAGCTTCACAAAATCACTACTGCACAAAGTAACCACTGTGAGAGGCACTTTGATCCCAATGGGAGCTGAGAGAGCGTTCACACCAATAAAACACACGCTTCCATGGTCTCTCTTCCTGGACTGAGTTTGCTTGTTCTCCTGTCTTTTTCCCCTCCTGGCTCGCATCCTTACCGCCTTCATGCGGCTTCATTCAGTCAGAGCCCCATGTCTGCCTGGTTCTGCTCACCTGGCACCAACCAGCCCAGCTGCCTCCCTGCCACGAGTGCAGCCACCGCGTCCTGCTGAGATGTGGGAGCACTCTCTCTTTCCTACTGCTGGCCCTGGCCACGCTTCCTTGTTCGTCCTGGGGACAGACACCTTCCACTGGTTACAGACACCCCGTGGGGAGATGCCCGAGCAATGTGGAGGGGCAGGACGGTCCCAGCAGCAGTGAGGCTGTGCCGAGAGGGGCTTGGGGAGTGGTACCTGTTCCCGGGAGGTGAGTTCAGCAGCGTTTGCTGAGGTGGGGGGAGAGAGGGAGGGAGATGAGGGGCTTGGCTGCTCTGGGTAGAAACGTGCGTGAAGAAAAGCCTCGACCCACACCCTGAATTCCACAGCTCGACTCCGGGGACAGGGGGAGGGAGAGAGGACAGGACGGGACATTTCCAGCAGACCTGCGACTTGTTCATAAAAGCCTCATCTCACCAGCCCTGCCTGCCTCCTCCCCCATCGCCTCCACCGCTCACGCCGGGTTTTATTAACGCAGTTCCCCTCAGGCTACAGGGAATCACATCCCAGGAGACATTCCAGTCTCAGATCGGCTTCGGAGGGGATCAGAGGGAGCCAGGGGTGGGGGGCGTTTCACCGGGACGTTTCATTTGCGGAGAGCTGACAGGTTGGGAGCGCTGCAAGACGGCACTAGCAACCTCCTTATCAGACACTGAGCAGCCGCAGGCTGGAATCGCGTCTCTGCTCGGCACTGGATGTCCCAGCCATTTCTTGCTTTGTCCAGGCTGCTGGCTGGGAGCTCTTTACCTGGGCTCTGCCGGGTGCTGGGTGCACGGCTGGGCACGGGGAGTCCAGGCAGGGAGTCTGGCCCTGTTGCTCAGGTGAGCAAACCATTGGTGACATGTAGGCAGGTCCAGGCTGCCACAGGAGCTCAGCCTGGGGTTATATCCTTTCCCTGAGCACCAACAGGGCCTCAGCCGCCAGCTCCTCGCAGCCGTCGCACCCTGCACCAGTCGGGGCTGACACCTCTCGCCAGGAATGGGAGCTGGCTCCCCGGCGTCTGGCTCCCCAGGTGAATTGTGGTGTGCCCTGAGCCTACGCCAGGAAAATGCCAGCAGATGAAACTGCATCTCAGGCCAAGAGACACGAAGATGGATATGTTTTCCTTGCCTGGCTTATCTCGCAGGCAGTGCTTCTCACCGGAGCCCGGCACTGTTTGTGTGCGCTCGGCTCCTGGCACGGGGGCAGGAGATGATTAGACAACAAACACTGTGGCGGAGCTCTCCCGAGCTGCAGCCTGCCCCTGCCCTGCCGAGACCACGGCCCAGCAGGGAGCTGCTTCTCGGGGGCCAAATCGCAGGGCTCAGTCTCAGGGCTGGCTGCAGCTGCACCGGGGCTGCAGCAGGAGAGGGGGGAAGAAGAGCCGCAAGACCCCGCAGCTGCTCGGGCACTGCGTGAGCTGCAGTGTGAGCTGAGGCTGCCTTAGTGCTCCCCCAGGGACTCCCTCCTGCACTGGATGCCTGCAGAACTGCAGTGCACCTCTGCAAGGTGAGGTGCTGGACAGTCCTGCCACCATCACCCTTGTTCCCAGTTTGGAGGAGGCAGCAGTGCCTGCCCAAGTAGTTGTGTCCCCATCCAGGGGCTCTGCTCCACTTGCATCCCTTGGTTTCGTAGGGGCAGTACATCAGGCAGAGTACAACCTTGTCAGACTCTGCACTGCTGTGTTCAACCCAGAATTAAGGTCAAGGAAGGGGGGGCAAAAGAAAATAAATGTAAAATAAGTAGTAGCAAATCAAGCAAAACTTTCTAGAAATGGATGGTGGGACTGTTGTACTGGCCTAGTTACGCTGAAATCTGGAAGACTTTGGTGTTTTCAAGGTGCACTATTTGGATCCAGAACAGCCTGTACAATTCCATCATTTTCATTTAAAAGGTTAAAAAAACCCTAAAGAGCTTCGAAGCAAAGGATTTTGCTGACCAACAGACACTTCTACATATTACTTTACCTTTCCACTTGTGAGTCCAGGCCCAAAGGCCAAGTTTCCTGTCACTCCACATCCTCTTCTTGCCCTCCGCCCATGCCCATGCTTTGGGCTGCCAGCAGAGCAGAAGAACCAGGTAATTCAGGAAATACTCCGGATCAGTGGTGTTTATGAGGGCAGTTCACTGCACATGACCCCCAGCTTTGTCTGCAGCTACCACCACCTGTACAAACACCCACTTTGGCTGCCCAGGAGAAAAACAAGGTGCCAGGGCCAAAGAAAAGGGGAATCCCAAAAGCGAGAGGGTGAGAACAGAGACTCTCCTGGTGGGGATGCGTCCCCATTTGTCACCCACTGAGCAGTGATGCTGGAAACATCAATTCATGAGGCCATCTCCTGCAGAGAGAGGAGGAAAGATGTTAGAGAAGAAAAATCAAAGGGATTTCTCTGTTCTGGGGGTTTGGCTCTTGGACCTTCTTCCAGCTGCTCAGGAGGTGTAAAGCTCCATACTGACTTTGCAGGGAACCTAAACCCGGGTCCCCAGCCACACAGAATACAGCTGTGAAAGTCACACCAGGGAGGTGGCAGGAAACAAAGGACTTTGGACAGACAGGCTTAATCTGTTTAAATTCAGTTTCTCTCTCACTTCCCTCCCCTTTCCCCTTTGCTTCTCATCAGACACCTCTTCCCCCACCTCCTCTCAGTCCAAAGTGCCTTACAGCAGTTTCCCACTCAAGTGGCCCATGGACTGAAAGAGTTATTTGACCCCTTTGCTGATCACAACAGAGCGGAATCAGACCCGCTGTTCTCTTCCTCTTGCACAGTCTCTTCCCACCTGACACCTGCTGGACTGCTGGGAGAGGTTATCCCCAGCTGGTGATTCCTGTTGGCACTCACATTACAATGCCGCTTTGCCTTCCCAAATATTCACAAGGTCCTCCTTGCTGGAAAGCCTTAGGACAGTGGGAGAAGAGCTAATGCTTGTAAGTCATAAGGACTTGGAAAACCCATGACAGTTCTGCCACTTTCTAGGACTGGAAGGCCCCGAGGAGATGCTGAGCAAAAAGAGGTACACATGGGGATGCTGTATCAGAAACATCAGTGACCATTGGGACCTCTCAGCCATGAAGGCTTTCACTGAGCTCCTGTAGCCATCATGAGAAGCCCAAATTTGGCTCCAGCCTGGCAGGAGCTGCAGGAAAGCGAGCAGACAGTGCCTGCACTGAGAGATGTCAGACTGTCGGCGCTCTGGGGCTGGGGTGGGAGCCCTGTGCTCATCTGCCAGCAGGCTCTGCACATCCAGCAAGCTGCAAACAGAGGCAGGGATGAGGCCTGCAGGGACAGGACACACAGTGGCTGAGAGAGCTCCCAGCATAGGAACACTAGCAGAAAGGATTTCTGCAGGCTGTGCACAGGGCCCTCTGCAGAAAGTGAGCACACGAGCTCCCAAAACACCCAGTTTTGGTGTTTTCCTGCTGCTGAACATCTACTTGCTCAGCTGGGAAATATTTGCAATCCCAAACACACCATGCACTTTCTTTTGTGTTAAGTGCCTTGGCAGGAGCCAGCAGTTCTCACACACAGTCACATCTCTGCAAGGACTGAGTTTCCCAGAACACCCCCTTTAAAAGTCTCCCTTTATTAAGGAGAGCCAAACTGCCTGTCGCTGCCTTACAGGCTGCTCCCATGCCTCTCCCTGCTTCCCCAGGGCAGCAGCAGGCTCCACGGCCATGGGCTGGAAAGCACTGAGCTCCCAGAGACACCAGCATTAAAAGAAAAGACACTAAAGAAAAGAGAGACAAAGGCAGGAAAGCTTTTCTTGCTGGGACCCAGCTGTCTGGCTCAGAGCAAGGCAAGAAAGTAGGGTCTGCTCTGCATTCCTGGGGCACAGCCAGAATAACAGCAGAAGGGTAAATTCCACAATGTAAAGTGTTTTCTTCTCTTTCCCTATCCCCTCTAAGAAATAAGGCCTTGGGGATACGCTGAACATGATGCTCCAATGCAAGGACATCTCACTAAGAGCCTGTGAGCCACTGCAGCACCTTCCAAACACAGCCTTTCTTTTCACATCTGCTTACCGTACCCAGTATTTACATCCTCAGTATGGTTCCCATAAAACAAAACATGAACAACTGATCACAGACAAATAATGCAGTAATAGAGTCCGGGATGTCAGGAAGCCTTACCCACTCCCTGCACACCAGCCCAGGCAGCTGGAGATCAAAGTTTTCTTATTTGCAATACATTTCTTGAAACAATTTGCAGCTAAACTCAGTCTACTGAGGGGATGCTGACACAGTCCAGGGCTTCTTCCATAGAAACAGGAACCAAGAAACCAGATCTGTGCATTACTGCCTCCCCCTCCAGGTGGCTGAGCAGACGGAGGAGACTTTGGCATCTCCGAAATGGGGAGCTGCTCCCTTCTTTCCCCTCCCTCAGCATCTCACACAGGGAAAGTCCTCTTGCAAAGGGTGAGTGAAGGGCTTCAGCAGAGCCCTGCACAGGCAAAGCAGGGGTGGAGAGAGATTTAAACACAGAGATGAGCTATTCCCCATGGGGACTAGAGTGGTCTCGACGGGCACTGAGGGTCTAAGAGGATTGTTTTCAGTCCTTGGTACCCTCAGGCAGGAGAGGTGAAAGACACCTTTAAAAAGACCCGTTTGAAGCCGTCCCAACGCAGACAGGACCCGGGTGCACGGAGGCCAGGGGGCCGGTGCCGGGGAGGCGTGGGAGGGGGGTCCCGCCCGTCCCGTGTGCTCCGCCTCACCGCCCCCCCGGGGGCGGAGCGGGGCGGGACGGGCGGGACCCCCCCTCCCTCCCGCGATGCCGCCGGGCCGTGTCCCCCCGGCCCGAACAGCCGCGGCTCGGGGAGAACAAAAGGCAGGAGCGGGAGGAGGCGCGAGGAGGAGGGCAGGCGGCCGCGGTGGGGGGATAAAAGGCTCAGCGAGGACCCCCCCCCTCCTCCTCTGCCCCATGTCCGAGCCCGCTCCGCCGCCCGGCATGGCCCGTGCCCCGCTGCCCGCCGCCGCCGCCTTGCTGGCCGCCGCTCTGCTGCACTGCGCGCCCGCCGCGCCCGCCCGCCGACACAAGCCGGTGAGTCGGGATCACCCGGTGCCTCTCTCCGTGCCCCCCGCCGCTCTCCGGTGCGGTCCCGAGGGCAGCATCTCCCAGGCAGACCCTCCGCTGAACGGGATGAGCCGTCTTCCCCCCCCGCCGTTTCCATCCATCCCGGAGCCGCCCTCGGGTTGCCGGCACGGGCAGCGCTGCCGGGAGGCACCGGCCGCGGGACGGCTGCCCCTGCCCCGGCGGTGGCTCCGCTCGGCGGGCTCCTCTTGACATGTTAGGGGAGGTTCCACAGGCGTGCTCCCGAGAGAAAAACAGGGATCGGGATGAGGAGGGTTTAGGAGAGGACACGGGATCCCCTCTGCTTTATAGGCAGCAGAGCACTCGCTGCTGCTCAAACACCTCCCGCAAGCTGTGCTGGAAGTTCTGAGAAGTGTTACGGAGAGAGGAGACTAAAGGGATGAATCAAAGGCGCAGGCAGGAGAGGAGCAGCAGGGGTCTTTCCTTCTGCACATGCCTGCCCGATCCCAGCACCTGGGACGGAGCTGCGAGCAGCAGGGACTGCGGCTGCCAGAGAAGAGCAGCGGTGTGCGAGGGATTTAGGGGACGGGAGAAGACAGAGAGCTCCTTGTGCTGGGAATGTGTGCGTGCGTAATTGGGTTATTATAGACATGCACTTCGCTGGTGTGCCATGAAATAATAACAGAGCAAATGCCCAGTAGCAGCCCAAGGGGATTAGTTCAGGTTCTGTCGATGGTTTTATTATCAGCTCTGTCATCTGAGTACTTTCTAACTTGGCTGCTAAATATGCTGTGGGCTGGAACTTGGCACAGAGCAGCCTTGGCCCCCAAAGTGCTTGTGGTATTCCAAATGAAATGTCACTGTGTTTGGCTCCGCTCTGCCTCTGAGGAAGGTGAGACCAAGCACTCGGTGGTGGCACTCTGCACTCCAGTAATGACACCACCGTGGATTTCAGCCCCATGGGAGTGCAGCAAGGGAGGGCAGAGCTCCACCTGCGCTAAGCTGGAGACCGCTGGTTCCTGTGGGACGTGGGCTGGGCTGGCAGGTGCCTCATGCTCTGATGTGTGCAAGCTGTGAAGCTGCTGCTCCTGGGGGGACCTGCACAGCCTCTGGTCCTGGTCTTGTTGCCAGCAAAGACCTGTGTGGCATCTCCAGGGAAGGGAGAGCCAGCCTGGTTTTCACACCATCTGACTTTGGGCCCGGTCCAGCTGTGGTGTCACTGTCCTTTTACCAGTGCTCGCAGCTGCTGACTGACTGCAGAGGTTGCTGGGGCTCACCTGCCTTGGCCAGTACCCCTTGAAGTGGGGAATACACCAAATCGCTGAAGAGCACAGAGTTAATGCAGATCCAGGTTTGCTCAGGCTTCTGGTCCACCTAAGCCACCACCATGCTCCAGAAGAAGGTTCCCCCCAGGTGGCAATCTGGTTTCTTCCTCATCCTAGGCTAATGCTCTGCATTGTGAATGCTGATGCTTTCCTCTTGGCTGGAGTAACTCCAGGTGATGCTCCTACAGGTATGTTTTGTTCAGGAATACCTTGTGCTTGTGTGTTTGACCAGCCACGTGGGGCTCAGGGTTTTGGATCAATGTATTTCAGTCTTTGCAGAGATGGTGGCTGCATTGGTTTGGGATTGGAAACGGACAGATGATTTCCCATCCTTTCAAACAGCAGTTCTTTCATCCCAAATAGCTGCCCTTTTGGGTTCCTTGTCTGATGTCAAGGCTTCTGAAGGTTATTCTACTGCCTATGAGGTAAAGCCACTTTTACTTGGGGGTTGCTCTCACATATGATGTAAGTTGGCAGTGCACCCCATTCCTCTCCTCCTGGGAAACACATGTCAGTGCAGGATAGCTGATGTGGGATTGCTGGGCTGACAGGGACCCGTGCATGTGCATCTGGCCTCAGCTTTTCTCTACCCTCTCTTGCTAGAGAGCTCGCATCATGTTCCCTTCTCTGGCTACTTGGAGTCTCTGCACAAAGGGATGTTTCCCTGATGTCTGACAGCAGCTAATTTCCTGTCTGGCCACCTTTTGCTGTTGGGTGATGAATGAGAAAGGAGCCAAGAGGCTGAGCTGGTAAAAGAGATTCACACTCCAACAAGACAGACAAAGGTGACTTCCTCGGGCTGTGCTGGTAAAGGGGGTGGGCAAGGACAGCCCTCGGTGCAGCAGTGTGCTGCACCATGGCTGTTTGTGCTCCAATAACAAGTCACAACACCAGTAATCTGAAAGGAGGAAATCAAGGGCCAAGATTCATTTTAAAGCCAGGCTACAGGGCAAGTTGCAGGAGGACTTGTGTTCTTCGAGGCAAACCCTGTAGATCTCCTTCACTTTTATATTAAAGCCTAAAGAAAGAAAGAGAAAACTGAGAGCAGAATAAAGGCTGTGTCTGGTGTCCACTGTAAAACTTGAGAACAAAAGATCTGCAGTCCTCGGGGCTGTGCACGCGCAGACACTGAATTCCTGCATTGCTTTCAGCTCCCCTGGGAAATCAAAGTCTGTCCATTTGCTGGGAAGCTCTCTCTCCGTGGAGAAGTGGTGGGCACCCTCCCAGCTGCCAACGTAATCCGTGTCCTGCAGCTCTCACCCCGAACGCAGCAGGTTCCCCGCTGGAAGCACAGCGGTGCCTTCCCCACAGCCCAGGAGCCGGGGAGGCTGCTTGCCTTGCTCGGGGTTCAGGCAGCTCCCGCAGAAAGGGTTGTATTTGCACTCTTTGGTTTGGCTATTTGAATGCTACAGTCAGTGTTGGGGTAATTTTAGGCATGTTTATCTTCTGCTCTGGGAGAGACTCAAGACACATGTAAGCAGTTATTCTCCAGCGGGTTTGTTGTGTTTGTGCTTCCACATGCAACACACACGCACACCCTGCGGTGTGGCAAGACCTGGGAGGTGCAGCTGGCGAAGTGGATCCGGGAGGGAGAAAAGGGCAGGGAGGAGAGAAGAACCCTGGGGAGGATCCCCCTCTCCAGCTTATGTTGCACTTTCCTTGCTTCCCCCACACTTGTCCTGCCCTGGCACCACACCTTGTGGGGCTCTGCAGAAAGGATGTACTGTATAGGACTTGTCTGAAAAGAATCTTCTGTGGAAAATTGGCCTGCAGAGATGCTGGTCATCCTCTTTCCTACTAAGTAGCTCTTTCCTACTAATTCTAAATACGCAGACAGGTAAATGAAAACTCCCTGGATATTCTTACACTGGGGATGGCTCAGCCTGTGATGTGAATGGAAGCATTGCTGAGTTTGCACATAGCTGCCTAGCAAAGTGAAAAGCAGAGCACTTCAGGGGTTCACTGAGGGCCACAGACATGTTTTTAGAGGTTCACTGAGATCCTGGTGCAGATGAGTCCCAAAAAGGACAGACAGGTGAGCAGATCTCTTAGTAGTCTTTGGGCAGGAGAGAGACATCTCACAAAAGTGACTCTGAAAGCTACCAGAGGAGGAAAACCCCCCTGACATCTCCAGGAGATTGGACAGGGGAAAAGTGCTTGTCTGGTGGGTGTGGAGATCCCAGACTGCACATTTGAGCATCCTGCACTCCCTGAGGCTAAAACATCCCCCCATAGCTCTGGAGAGGTCTGCACTGTGATGGGTGGTCAAATCCAGAGGGAGATATCCCGGCTGTTGTTTATGGCTCACCTTAGCTTGGATGTAACTGCACAATGAACAAAACACCTCAACCCCCTTCCTCCCCTGCCGGGAGTGTGCTGCATCCTAGAGCTGTTTCTTCAGTTCAAGGGGATTTCTAGGTCATCAGATTAAGGGCTCTTGAAACCTTTTGCTATCCCGGCATCCTGGGGTTTGTTTGCTCTGTAAGTACTCCTGTTTCTGGCAAACTGTTGCTTGGGTGACACCAGAAGTTTGGTTTTGGTGTTGTTGATGGAATAGACTCACAAATTGTCACATAATTAAAATGTCTGATAATAAAAATAGTCGTGCAGTGTTTATTCATTTGCTTTCTCTTGTTACTCGAAGGCCTGGTTCTTCTCATTCTGTCTGTGGGCATAAACATTTGCAGTCCATAATGTTTCATGTTCAACGTTGCTTAGGAAAAATAAACATTTTCCTTTTTTTGTTGCCAACAACAACTACCACCAAGTAATCCGGAAACAAACTGTCAGGCCCCAGGAGGTAGTGCTGGATGGTGCCACAGAGTATGGGAAGTGAGTGGAGAGGAATATCCAACTGCATGGCCAGGCACTGCAGCAGCTCCCATTTGGCCTCAGCCTTTGTGTTCTCCCTGGCTCTGCCTGCAGCCCAGCACAAAGGAGCCAGTCCTGTAGCAGAAGTATTTTGTGTAAGGAAAGAATTCATAGTTAGAGGGGTTGGGAGACTCTGCCTTGTTCTGGAGGAGGTAGGATCAATAAATCTGGTGGCTTTGCCTAGGCATTATTTCCACTAACAGTGCCTTGACCAGGAACACACTTAGCTCAGGGTCAGACCAGACCACAGTAATGTGCTTCTGCTGTGAAAGTTAAGCTGCAGCACCTTCCTGGGCCAGTTTGCTTCTGGGACACAACCTGACTGCAGTTTTACCACTAACCATCAGCTGTAGCTGCAGTTTCAAATCCAACCCCTGCAAATCCATGCTGGGATGAGAGGCAGGCTCAATAAAAAGCCAGCCATGGTACCCTGTGCATCAGGACAATAGTGCTGATCTCAGGCAAGAACATTGCTCTTAAGGGGGTGCAAGCCCCTTGGGGGGCACAGACACCCCACAGTGGGCAGAAATGGGGTGAGAGAACTGTTTTACATGAGAGCTGCAGGCAAAAGCATCTCTGCTGTCCTTCCCAGTGCATTGAAATAAGGGCAGGAGTGCTCCAATGTGCAGGCTTGTAGGTGGAAGGAGGATAATGCTACTAGCCAGAGAGGCAGCAAACACCAAGGCCTTGACAAAGACTCTGAGTAATGGAAGGAGAAAGCAGGGAGAAATGGAAAACCAGCAACAGAAGGGACAGGGAGGTGGGAAGACAGTCCATGAGCTCATTCCCCAACAGAAAAGGAAACAGCCCCAGTGACAGGGGAGATATCCAAAACTGATGGGATTCATGTTGTAACTTGTCCAATCACTCCTGTCTGACAGGGAGAGGGGTCTCCTTTCATATCCATGCTGCAGAAGCAGACAGGAGCCCAGGTAATTAGGTACACAACAGAGGACACAAGTTTAAGTTCAGGGCAGGCAGAGGAGGATGGACCCAGGCAGAGGAGAGCAGTGGGTTTGTCAGTGCCAGGCACCGGCCTCTCATTCAAACGGGGTGTTGCTGATACTTGACTGTAGCTGTGCTGCTCTGGCTGCTGCTCCTCCTGGGAGCTCTGGAGGGCGAGTGCTGCCCAACACAATGAGGTTAAAGATGCTCCTGGCTCCTTGGGATGGCTGGGACGCTTCCTGGGAAGCTTGGCTGGTGTTCATCTGGCCCCGGCAGACCCAGAAGTGATGGCTGTTGTATCACAGCACTGATAAAGCTGTAAGGAACTGAGTGGGCAGCCTGTACCTCCGCTGTGGTTTCTGGTCTCCCATGGGATCTGTCCGTTCCCTCCCATTCCCTCTCAGCCTCTCAGTCACAAGGCTGCAGGAAGAGGCACGTTCTTTGTGAGGAGCTGTGACCAGTCTGCACCACAGCACTCTGTGTACAGCTTTGCTCCTCCACTGTCCCCACCATTGGTCTCAGGCCTAGCAGCCCCTCTGTGCTCATGCTGTGCTGGCATTTTGCTGCTCAGTCTCCATTGCAAAGCCCTGGCCTCTTCCTTGACTACAAACCAGCTGTTCCCGGGCACAGTGGCCACCCCAACTGCTGGTTATACTGGGAAGGGCAGAGCAAGTGGCTGCACATGCTCAGCCAGAGGCTCAGATATGTTTTGCACTCAGCTGGGCTGAACCCTGCCCTGGGCTGCAGGGGTTTTCCTTTGCTTTTGTGTTCAGCAATCCCTTTCCCTCTGCTGGTGGGATGCCCCGACAGGTACCCAGCAGCCAGTGCCCTCCTCACCCTCTCCTTACAGGTCTGTACTGGTTTCAGCAGCAGCACAGCCTTAAGTGAAGCCCTAAGGATGCAGCCAGGGCATTGTACCACAGCTGTGAGAACTAAGCAAGGTCTCCCCAGGAGAGGGTGGGCTCAGTGCTGGGTGGGAAGGATACAACCTTAAGTGAGCGGACACGTTATCTAAGCCCCAGGAAGTGCCTGCAGCAAGGTGTGTCCAGCCAAGGAGACCAAGATCTCCAGCCTGAGTGTCTCCTGAGCATTGTTTGGCAAGTGGTTTCTGCCTGTCACATTTCCCCTTGCTGGCTGTGCCTGCAGTGGCATTTTCCAGCCCTTTCCTGCCATGGTCCTAATGTCGGTGCAGTGACGACAGGGAGAGAGTTACTGTTTGTCCAGGGGCACAGCTCAGGGCAGCAGGGAAGGTCTTCCCCCCTGCCTCCACCCAGAGCCATTCACAGGACCAGCCCTCCCAGGGCTGGGTCTCTGCACAGAGCAGGCAGGAGGGAGCAGGAAGGGTCCTGGCTAAGGCAAGGTGGGGTTTGAAAGGCTGGGATTCATGCCAGTGGCCTTGAGCTAATCAAAGAGGGGAGAGAAAAACTACCTCTGGCCTGCCTCTGAGGTAGAGGGATTTCTTGGGACAAGAAGGAAACAGGTAGTTTCTCCTCTCTGCTCTTGCTCAGAGGAGAGTGATGATCTCCAGTTTGTGCCAGTATCCCCAGCCTGTAAGGCAACTGGCCTTCCCAGGAGGGGGATGTGCTTAGTGTTGTCCAGACAAAAAAACAGGAGTAAGCCCATCCGGGTCAGCCTCATCCCGCTCACCTACCTGGGCAACTCCTGAGGGTTTTCCAGTGCTCCCAGTTCCACAGTGAGGGCTCTCCCAGGGGTCCATCTCCTCTCTCCCCATGTGCCTGGGAGCAGCTGTCCTGTTCATTCTGGCCCTGGGAAACCGGATGCATTCATCACCCCATGTCCTCGGGTGGCAGGACCTGTCTGTGGTGGCAGCTCTCCAGGATGGGCTTTGGTGACACAGCTGCCATTATGTGCTTCAGTGTCATTGGGTCTGGGAGCAAGATGTTGGCCAGAACATGAACATTATCAACTCCTCCTGCCAGCTGTCCTTTGCAGGCATTAGCTGCCAGCCCAGGCAGGGTGCCAGGCAGCTCTTAGAGAGCTCCTCTTAGAGAGACAGGTACCTCTGACCTGGCAGGGCTCCAGTGTTCAGGAGGAGCAGCCTGGTGCAGACTCCCCTGGGAGAGGCAAGTCCATACTCCCTCCTCCCACTAAAGCACTGCATGGATTCTCAGTGCCATGGCTGGAACTTGGGCTTTACTGTTCAGGATGTAAAATGGCTTTTTCTCTCTTTGCATGGGTTGATGGTGCAGTTCCTGTGGTGTGTGAAAGTGCACTGGGACACCAGGATTGTATGGATTGTTTTAAGGCAAAGGCTGGTAGGTGCCAAACCTCCAAGGGTGTCTGTGTGTCTGTCTGGGGAGGACAGGTCAGCAGGCTAGAGTGGTGACAGACACATGAAAAGCCTAAACTGACATGTGGACACCTAAACTGCACCTTGTGTGACCTCCCTGGCTCCTTTGTCCATCTGTGCCTTGCTCAGAGGCACTGGGCCGCTGCAGAGTTGGGAGCTCGGTAGCGGAACTAATGCCAAGGTCTTCACACTTCATTCCAGCCCGCATGAATGGGCTCATTGTAGGGAACAGAGTGGTGGCAGCACGCGGATTACACGGCATCATGGCAGCTCTGGCATCGTGCCATCCTGACCTTTGTGTCCCCGGCAGGGCAGCCAGGAGAGCGGGCCTGGAAGAAGGCAGCTCTTTGCAGGGGAAGGAAGGGCACTCCTAAAGCCCAGGCCCTCCCTCTGAAGCCCTGTGGGACAGAGCCTGCCTGTCCAAGTAGAGATGCACCACTGCTGCATCTCAGCTCCTCCTGCTGCTCAAACACCTTTAAATTTGTCTGCACAAAACCAGGCAAAAAAATAAAAATCTGTGTTTGGCCCCCCGCCCTGGGCAGCACAGTGGCAGGGACCAAACACCTCTCACCCCACATGCCTCCCAGCAGGTTGGAGATTACACCTGGGTGATGTTTCATGGGGGCAACATAGTCCTGCTGTCAGGTGGGAAACCAATGGAAGTCAGATAATTAGCATTAGTTAATGTCATCAAGCGCTTTTCCAACTAAGTGTGGGATAGCCCAGGAGATCTTATCCCCATCAGAGTCACAGGTGCAGTGAGGCAAGGGGATATGGTCCTGTCCCTCTCTCAGGTGGTGATAGGGGCTGCAGGGACAGCCATTTCTGCTCTCTGCCCCATGGGCTGGACTGTCAACCCCCAAATCCATGTGTCCTGCTCTGCAGCTTGTCATGTCCCCTGGCCATGCTGAGCCCACAGTGCCAGGACAGCAAGGGGACACCATGGAAGTGACAACAGGGAGCACAACTGTGTGCTGGGCACTAAAGGCTTCCTCCCATTAATATCACCTCTCCCCGGGGCCAGGAGGGAATAAAGGATGTGGGGCAAAGGGGGAGAATTTACTCCCTAGTGGTTTGTTTTATACTTGAAGGGTCTGGTTCTCATCCACGGCTTGCAAAGTATTTCCTGCCGGCCAGCTGCCAAGGAAATGTGGACCAAAAATAGCCCAGTGCTTAGGGGTGCCATGGCATGACACAGTGCCTCCCAGGTGTGACCTGGCCTGGGAGCAGCAGAGCCCAGGGAACAGAGGATGTTTGTGGGGAGCAGTTTGTGCCATAGCAGCAGCAGAACAGCCCTAGGTAGAGGTGGAACTCACCACGTCATGACTGCTGATGTCCACTGACTCCACATCAAGAAGTGTCTTCTCAGTCACCGAAGTCATGGCTTTGCTTTTGCCTTTTAGGACATGTCTCGAAAGCATCACACCTGGAAGGAGCAGGCTCCTTGGCTATCCTCCTTGGTGAACGCTGTGGGGACTGGTGTGCCTGCCAAGGGCTTCCCTGTGGGTACAGAGGAGCAGGTGGCACGCTGGAACCCCCCCCGGTGCGGCGTGCCCGACCTCCCGGTGCTGACGGACGGACAGAGCGGGCGCAACCGGCAGAAGCGGTTCGTCCTCTCCGGCGGACGCTGGGACAAGACTGATCTCACCTACAAGTAAGAGAGGCTCGAAATGGGAGTCAGGCTGGTTTGCTTCTCCCTCCCCAAACCTCTCAGTCCGATGTTCCCTGGAGCACTGCACACCGGGATGTGAGCTGTGGGGAGCCACATGCTGAACCACCAGCAGGGCTGTCCCCGGCACCTCCACATCCCCTCCCATGCTCCATAAACACCACTGCCCACCCACCCTGCCCAAGCACATTCTGCACCAGCCCTTGGTCAGCCCCACACCAACACCCCCGTGCACATACATTCACTTCCCTGCACCAAACCCCTGACACGTGCCGAGCTGAGCCTCCACCACCAGCCCTCTCCTGCTGCGCCTTTGCCCCCCCAGCCACCCCATGGTGGGCTCACCTCACAGTTTATTTTAAAAAGATCTTTTTATTCAGCTGTTACTGATGTTCCCATAAACACGGCTTCAGTGCAAAGTTTTGCCCAAATCACCCCACACATTCTCATTTGTGAATCTACTCAACAGGCTGGCGGGAGGGTTGTGCTGCCTCCCCAGCTGCCCCCAAGGGTATGAGTGGAGAAGTGAGCACACTCGTATGGACCTTGACAGCATGTAAATCATCTTTTGTTTAATTCAATGCAGGAGACAGTTCCTCACAGCGTTAAGAGGCTGTAGATAACAGAAAGACTTCTTCCTTTTCTTTTCTTTTTGGTCAACTGTGTTAAAGAAGGAAGCAGAGGAGAGGCTAACATAGAGCAACACTGTTAACGGAAGGGAAAGAAACCTCCCTTTCAGTCTGCTCATGTTTTAGGAGGGCAGAAGAGGTGATAAATGCTCTGACTGAGCCCAGGTTTCCAGGGGCAAAACATGCAGAGGTAGAGAAGAAGGAATCACAACACACTACTCCCTGGAATCTCTGTGGCAGTGGCCTCATAGGAGACAGACCTGGGGAATGCTGTGGAACAACAGAGAAAACAAAGCTTTCCAGGGAACTCACCTCTGGCCCAGCAGCCAGAGGGTTTCAACACTGATGGGATTTATCTGCTGCACATGTTGCATAGTAGAGGGTGCTGGAGCAGTGTTTGTATGGATTGGAGATGTTCTGGTGCTGAGAGTGGCAGCCCTAGTGATGTGGATCCTAGAGCTGGTGTCTTCATGACAGCAGTGTCCACAGGACAGCAGCTGCTCATCCAGTCTCTGTTGCCCTCTAGAATTGTCAGGTTCCCGTGGCAACTTGTAAAAGCTAAAGTGAGAAGGACCATAGAAGAAGCTTTGAAAGTCTGGAGCGATGTGACCCCGCTGACCTTCACTGAGGTGCAGGAGGGACGGGCTGACATCGTCATCGATTTCACGAGGTGAGCACGGTGGGCAGCAGCACCCTCCTCCCAGACAGAGGAGCAATGCCCTAACCAGAGCAGAGAGCTGCCAGCACACAACTTAGGCACTTAAATGACTACTCATATTTCTGCTTTCAGACACTGGAATCTTTTGGGGTTTGTTGTTTTGGGTTTTTTATCAGTTGTGGGCTGCGTGGTGTATGTGCAGTTGCTCCACACTGGCTGTGCACAGCACTGTTACTGATCATTCATTAATTTTCCTGGTACATTTACATTTCTCTGCCCACAGGCTGTTTTCTTAAGCATTTGTTTTGACTTTCCATCTTCAGGTCCTCCATCCTGTCCCTTGACTGAACAACGTAACTGTCTGCACAAAGACAAATATAGTTTCTTGGTTAAGTGAATCTTGGCTCCTGGCCTGAAATTCCCTTTTGGCAAAATACGCACTGGGGCAAAGACTTCCCCGTGCTGCATGTTTGCACAGAACAAATGAAGGCAGTGGAGACTGTCCAGGCAGTGATGAGATTTGCATGCTGTGTATTTGCCTGTGCCTCCCTCAGCATTCTCAAGTGGCCGCATCTCTCATGGGTTTCCTTCGTTAGTCGTCCGTGGCTCGGTTTGAGTGAAGACCTGAGAGTTTGGCTGGGTTTGCTGCCAGCTGCCCCTCCACATCCCTCCACCACTCAGCAATGCTGACTTAATCTTGGCTTGAGCAGTCAGCTCCTTAATTCTTTAGCCTCTATGGTCAGCTTTGGGCTGGAATCTGAACAGGGGGAGGGGAGAAACATTCCTGAGAAAACATACAAACTCCCCAGGGCTTGGTGTGACCGAGCTCTGCTTCCTCAGTGCCCTGATGCAGAACTGGTTGTGGCAATCAGAAGGACTCCGAGCAGTTGATCTGGCCCGGTAGGATGAACTTGGGATGGGAGAGCTGCTGTTCCCTCACAGCAGGTCCCACCTTTGGCCTTACGACACTGTTACTGGAGGTACATGGCCCTTTGTCTGAGGTGCAATGTGTCTTCCCTCCAGGTACTGGCATGGAGACAACTTGCCTTTTGATGGGCCCGGAGGGATCCTGGCGCACGCGTTCTTCCCCAAGACACACCGGGAGGGAGATGTCCATTTTGACTATGACGAGACCTGGACGATTGGGAACAACCTGGGTACGGTTCTGTTTCAAGGGGAGCTGTGGATGCTCCAGGATGCTTAATCAATACACTTGGAAATTATTCCCTTCTGATGTGAACAGGGACCCTGTAAAACTGAGGGGCAACAACTATTTTTGTGGTGTGCACTGTCATCTCCCACCACTTACAAACCTCCTGTTACTATTCAGGTATTTTCATCTTTCAGCCACAGCAGAGCCTGTGTCCAGCACCAGGACCCTGGCTTTCCAATGGACTCCTCCTGTCTCGGGGGAGCAAGAGAGATGGCTCCTCTGCCCAGTCATGTGCCCTGCCACTTGGGAATCACACTCAGCATTGGCAGGAGTCATTAAAAATAAAACAGGGAAAGGATGAAGGAAAACTGAGGCTCAAGCACTTGGTGACACAGTTGTCATCCAAGGGACAGCTTCAGCCCTGGTCCCTGCATGCATTGTTCACCATCTGCTCTCAAACAAGTCCATAAAGGGAAACCACCCGGGCTCCAGCTCTGTCCCCGTGGCCTGGGAATGCTCTGACCATAAACAACACCACATCCAGTCAAGACTCTTTTTTTAATTTTTGCTAATAATAGATCTAAGCTGGTAGCTCTTTGCTCGGGCACTCAGGGTCTGGTGTCACAGTATCTCATGAGATACTGCAGTACCGCCTGGGACCATCTGGATCAGTGCCCAAAGCATCAGTTTCTGGAAGACCCACCAAAATTAACCCAGGTCAGCTCCTCCTCCTCCTTCCCAGTTTATCTACAGGGACAAAGAGACAATCACAAAGCCCAAATTAACCCCCTGCCTCTCCAGGGTTTCCCAAATATTTTGCTCATGCCAGTGGACTCCCCCAAAGCCCACGTCACTGTCAGCTCTATGCCAGCTGGACTGCATGGGGCACAGGACTGTTGTGTTTCTCACTCTGCTCACGCCAACCCAAAATAAGAACCACAGAGCACTGGAATTCTTTACAGGAGCAATTCTGCTCCTGGGGAGGGCTGGGCTCTGTCACTTTTCACCCTCTGTTGGGGTTGTCTGTGTTGTTGAAGAATTTCCTACATTCTCCCATAAAACAGTGTTGGAGGCAAAACAGGAACTGAAAATGGACACCAGTTCCCAACAGAATCCAGTCCTATTCCATGGCATTCCCCCTCCCCCCCATCATCCATAAATAGATGTTGTAAAAGCTCTTTGGAGCTAATTGCCATTTAATATGCTGAAAAGAGCTTTACGATATAACCATGGATAAATCCTTGACTCAGCTTTCAGTGAGACAGGGAAATCCTCAGCTTCATTTTACAGACAGGAGAGCAGAAATGTGAGGAGGACTAAGGTGTGCTCTGGGGTCACCCTAGAGCTGTGCAGGAAGCGGGACCCCACATGGAGACCATCCATGAGAGACACAGAGATGGTCCCCAGCGCAGCTCCTTCAGCTGTACTGCTGTGCATCTCCTCTGGAGAATCTGACAGCACAGCTGATCTGCCAGCACTGGAAAGCATCAAGTGAGGAGCCTGCCAAGCTAAACAAAAGTGTCTGAAAGTTTGTAATAAGTCACTGACACAGAGATCCCACTTTCTCAGCTGATCTAGATGTGTTGATTTAATCAGGTCAGTGCTGTGCAAATTCATCGCTTACACGTAACACTGACCAGCAGAGGAAGAAGACAGGGGTTCACCTTCCCCTCCGCCCTTCCCAGGCGTTCCTCCCAGCTGTATCCCCCTGTCCCATCCGGTCCTGGTGCTGAGAAGTGACCTGCTCCCCTGGAGCCAGCAGGGAAATCCTGCTTGGAACAGTGAGGCTGGCTGACTCACATCCCTGCTGTTCTCATCCTTTGGGCTGCAGCTTGGAGGATTTCTGGCTGAAGGCAAGTGAATGAATATGCTGGGACTTGTCAACAAACAGCCTCCACTCATAGGGAAATTTATCAGCTTCAAAAATGATCCACTGAAAACTAAGCAAAACATGCCAAGTGATATATCTTTGCATACTGAAATCCACTTTCCCCCCTCTCCTTTTCTAAATGCTTCAAGGTCATGTATTCCTAAAACATGATCTCCCATAAATCTACTTGAGTTTGGCGAGGAAGTCTCAGGTCTTGACATTGGATCATTTTTTATGGATTTATTTCTAAATGTCACCTTCTTGACATAGTCCCCACACAAGCAATAAATGAGCTCCCTCTGCTGTCTGTGTGACAACAGCCATTAGCAAGTGTTAATCCTAGAGTTCCCTCACTGACACTGGTATCTTCCACAGTGGATGTGATCTCAATGGGACAGGATAAACTGCAGCTGTGGCCAGCAACTGCTGCAAGGCTGGGTGGACAAA